CAAAGTATTCAATGAACTCAAAGTTTAATATTAACATAAAAACTAAAGGGTGGTCCAAAGGTTTCGAATTCTCAGCGGAAATTGACTTTGTCTGTATAAATACATACATGGATACGTGACTGAAATACACAGTTTTGTAGAGAAAGATTAAACCTATCATCCGAAAAAAAAAAAAATAGTTTCAATTGCATCAACATCATGAAAAGTTATGGTTATTTAATTGAATATGACTAACAATTTAACAAGTTACATTTTTTTCAAAAACAAAATATTCTTGTAACGTGAATTGAAATATTGTTTCCTAGATATTTCTACCTGGTTCGATAGATTACAACAAGCTCTACAAGAATATGAACACCAAAAAATTCTGATCTTGTTTCTAATATAAAGCTCGGAGGAAGTTAGAAAGACTAGAAAAGATTTCCTTTAGCCAGTATCTCAGAAAATCAGTTGAATATCCAATAAATTTAACTGAACGATTGTTTTGTCTGTTTTTGTAGTTCTGAAGGGGTATTTACAGCTTCCGTATGTGGCACTGCCTCTCAAAACATCATTTAACAGTTAGCCAACGAATGTTATTGAAAATTAAGCATACTGTCTCGTGCAACGTATAGGAGATTTTAATTACTCTACGTAGTTTTCGTTAAATTTTTTATTGGAAACAGGGGGAAGACTTTTTTGGTTTTCATATTCTTGTAAAGCTTCTCGAGCTTTACTGAACCATGTAAAAATATTCAGAAATTAATATTTTGCTTGATTTTAATTACTCAAAGATTACAAGAATATATTTCTCTTTGAAAAAAATGTAAGATGTTTAACGAATGCCAAAAGTAGTTTAGCATATAGCACTACGGATCTAATATAATTATATAGATCATCAATTATAATGAATCTCATGATTATATTCCATGAACAAAAAAATTATTGTGACCATTATTAGAAGTCTTTACTATTAATCAACAATCAAGAAATATTTTATTTGCTTTTGTTGACAAGTAAATTTCTACTTTATATTCCTCCTTATATCATTTCACTAAATTGAATAATATAACGCTGATATAATAGTCAAGTATGATTTTTCTTTATAGGAAAAAAATATGTCAGCATAAAATGACGCTAATTACAATACTGCACACACACACAAGCACGCATAAAAAAATGTGATTAAATTAAAGTCGTATAGACTGCGTCATAAATGATTATTTTCTTAACCATAAAACTAATATCACAGCCAATGGTATACAAACAGCTAAAAGTCCAATAGTAAAGCCAAGTATACCAAGTTTACAACGAGGTGAGCATGGCTTACTTAAGCAAGTACACGTTTCATCGGAACTAGAAGCAAATGAATTTAGATATGTTTTTTTTTCTTTTTTATTCAAACCTTGATATCATTTGTGCATTGGACGAATTATTACTGACCATTGTCGAGTCCATTCGTTTTGTAAATGAATTATTACTGGGTATTGCTGAATCTCTTCCTCTTGTAAATGAATTATTATTGTATATTGTTGAATCGGCCGTTTTTGTATATGAATTATTAGGCTTACTTGGCCATACATAAGATGATTTCACAAATGTAGGACTTGTTAACCTTGTATCAACTGATGGTTTTTCATATTGACTTCCATTCAATGGTGCTGGTGACCAAGGACCTGCACTTGATCGTCCCATAAGACTATCAAAACGAGGTAATACGGATGCACTAGCTGGTGTTGGAGACGTCATTGGTGGAAGTCGCAATGCTGCTTGTTGTTTATATACATTAGTTGATGCGTCGTGATCCTTTTGATTTATATAAGAGAATAGATAACGCAATATAAGTCTTATTAAACTTACCATTATATCTTCCATTATTTTCGTCTTGTTTTTTTCTTTTTCAAACTACGAATGATTTCCAATTCTTTTTGTTCTTATTTTCTTCGTTTCAATATTATTTTTTCTAGTTTCTTTTAAGAATTCTTTGTGTTGTTTGTCTAATGTACATGTAAATAGAGTGCTGAAGAATTGTTTTTTTTTCTCTTCTATAATGATGAAACATGACACAATGAGCACATCGAAACGAAACCTTAACGCTTTATTAATTAGTTTTTTTTTTATAAAACAAAATATGCAAAAATAATGAATTCCTAGTCGCGCTTGATTCTTGTTTTTCTAGTTTTTTTTAAACATATAATACTATTGAAGTCTAATACTTCTAATCAAATGAACCAACATATTCATGTATCATCTGATGAACAATTGATTTGTGAAAATGAAAAATGTCGAGAAAGAGTTTTAAATAAAATTAAACAAATTAATAATGAAATAAAAAATGATTTTCATATTATTGTTAAAAATAATTCAAATGATAATAAAATAAATCTGGATCAAGCTTGGAATATAATGTATTTAACGAGTAAAAAACTTTCAAATAAATTAATTATATTTTTTCATAAAGAAGAAATTTCTCAACTTATTGAAAAATATATTGAACAAAATAATACAAAACAAACATTTCAAAAAGCTTTTAATTACAAGAAAAAAAAAACAAAATTTCGAAGAATTTATAACAAAACAACAATTGTGGAATATTTATTTGAATATGTGTGAAAATGCTATTAAAATAATTTCAAAAGATGATGAAACATATACAGTAAATTATCTTGTTGCTGATGAGAATTTATACAAATGAATTATATTTTCTCAATAATTAATAATTTTCTTCTTAATTTAAATTTACTTAAATATTTTTCTTCGATTTTTGAGATTTATTTATTCATCGAAATGTATTTAATTTATTTCATTTGTAAGATCGTGTGTCATATTTTCTTGACGTTGATTAATAATTTTATCTTGTGAAAGAAGAAAACGAGTTTAATCATTTAATTGAAAGATATTTTCACGAATAATATCTTCAAAAAACATGGACATTTGATAAACACCAATAAGAACACCTACAAAACTTGAATAATATACAACGGTTCTTATAATTATTCGACCTGGCTTATTTTCATTCTTTTTGCATCGTCATAAATGCTAATAAGAATGTAAATAGTGACTTGTATAGAGAATTTGGTTTCCAATAAAAACTTATCAACATGAAAATGATTGTTAGTTTTTTAAAAATAGACTCTCAAAAAAACCTTAGGCTTGGGTTTTCGCCAAATCTTCACATTTGTTCGACTGCAGTCAAACTGTGATGAAAAAATCCCAGTTGCGCGTAACTGCGATAAAAAAAAATCAGTTTCATGTAATTGCAATGCAGTTTTTCGCAATTACGGGTCACAGTATGATCGCAGTTACGGCGTAAATGCGTTGCAGTTTCCAAAAGAGATCACATAGATGGGGTTTTCATTTTATTAATTCTTTTGTTGTGCATGTTAAAAAAACTTCCAACACACAAAAAAACTTAAAAATTTGAAAAATTTAAAAATAACGATCTAGCAAAAGATGAAAGTTAAAAATTTTTAACAAAAAGTAAAAACAAGAATTTCAAAAACATATTACTAATAAGAAAAGTTTTTTAAATTAAAAAAAATACATACAAAATTTTTAATATTAAATTAAAAAAAAAATTGAACACTTAAAAAAAATAAAAGAATAAATATCAGAAAAATAACATTAATAAATAAAAAGTTAAAAAGTTGAAAATAGAAATTAATATCTAGAAAAATGAAAAAAACTTGAAAAAATTTAAAAATAAGAAAAGTAAAATAATAAAAAAAATTAGAATTATTTTCAAAATATTTATTCTACTTGTTGCAGTAGAATGAATTATGAGCCAAAGTCTCATCGAGATAGCTTTTTATATAGTGTCTGTTTGGCTAAGTTTTAGCGGTGACCACTTATAAATACGGAGCAGTCGCTTATAATTGATCAGTATCAGTTACAGCGGATCGTACGATACGATTACTGCGACACAGTTGTGCTTATCTGCGTCGCAGTAACCGTAGTTTCTCATAGATGTTCTCACTGCGATCAATGTGGCGCAGTTACGCGTAACTGCGACGCAGTTCGTAAAAAAGTGGCGACATGGGATTATCTTTAAAAAAACTAACAATCATTTTAATCTTTAAAAATTCTTGTCGAAAATTTTCTACACAAATCACTATTGACATTCTGATTAACATTTATGACAATGAACAAAAATTTGAACATAAATCTGTTCGAATATTTTTTTCGAGCCAATCTATATTGTTGTTTAGTCTCGGTAATATTACCTAAAGTCAATGGTGTAAATTGATCAAGTAAAATAAAAGTATGTGGATGAAAAATTTTATCTGCTTGTAATGCCTTTTCTTTTTCATAAAATTCTGTCCATATAGTTAATAATTCCGATGAATGAGGATTAAGCAATAATTTTTGATCAGATAGATTGTTGTTGCTTGCATCATTTAGTTTATCTTTTAACGAATAAATTGTCAACGAAGGTGATTGATCATTGTCAACATTTATATTTTGTATAACGTCATTAATCGTAATTAGATCATATGAGAAATGATTTTGATCCTTTGATGTTTGTTGAAGAAAAGTTTTTCCTAATGGCGTTTCATGAATAGATACGAATTTCGTTTTCATTTTGTGTTCATAAATATGATCATATTCAGCAGATAACATTTTAACACATTCACCTATAATGTGAAAAGCATCTTTTCATCGATTTCAAATCATTATTTTACTGAAATATTGAAGTTGATCATCACAAGTAATAATTGCAGTATTTTTTCGTTCACAAATAGTCGACCATATACGTAAAAGTGCCATTTTTATACAAACATTTTGATCTAATGTTGTTTCTTGACAATGTTTATCAACAATAGACATACCATCAATAAACATCGTATAGATTCTATGACAATGCGATAGTAAACTTGGAGTGAAACGTTTAATACATTGGTATTTTTGAGATATTTCCTTATTGGTGATAATTAGGACAACGAATGGAAAAGATGATTTGAGTAACCAAGAGAATTTTCTTTTGGCAAAAGTATCTTTTGAATATGCTTGAAAATTTTTCAGGAGCTTATTCTTTAGAAAAGTAAGATCTTCTGAGCCAATTTTCTGAATGAGATCACCTGATAGTGAGAACATTTCGAAGAAAAGCAGAATATTTTTAATTTCTACACTACCTTTCTTTATCAAATTGCATTTAATTTACTCAAGACACTGAAGCTATTTTTCTATTTTTTTTTCAAAAATGTATTGTATTTTACACTTCGGAATCTTTTATGATTTCCATACGGTGTTTTTGAGTTGAGGCTATGCGGATCACATAGACTCAAATTAGTTTTGAATATCATAGAAATATTTCGATCCCTTACCTTATTGTTGCATAGATACTATACATGTATGATAGATTTTTAAATGGATGCCATAGTTTCTGTCAGGAACATCAGAAAAACTGATTTTAGAACTTCGACTTAAAACTTCATACAAAGACACTTCTTATCAAGAATAGTTTCTTGTGACGGTTTCAGATCTTTCAATTTGCTTCGATCATGAAATAAGAACACTACCTACCGTTATAAATGGATGAACGTTATAAAAGATACCCTTTCATCATAGGATGTATCTTAAGATAGAAACACCGACAAAATCTGAAACATTCACTAGAAACTATTTTCATTAAAAAATACCTCTGTGCAAAGTTTCAAGTTGAAATTCGAAAACTAGTTTTTCTTCTGAAGTTTCTGAAGGAAACTATGGCATTCATTTAGAAACTGCTGTAAATTTTCGGTTTCTTCACAGCAATAAGCTAAGGATCAGAACTCTGTTCAGGAATGATCAGAGTTTACTTGATTTTACTTAACACACGTAGTTTCGACTCAAAAAGTGATTTATCAGTTAGAAGATTTCCCTCATCAGTATGGTTTGAGAAAAAATAAGTTATAAAGAACACGATGCCATCTCATTATGCTTTAAAAAGTTTTCACTATCAAATAAGTTTATATGTAAAACACTTTCGAAAAACTTTAATGAAAACCCGGTATATACCATTTTTGATACAAAACTCTTCTAGCTACGGAAAAGTTTTTTATGAAATTCGACATAAAATAAAATCAATACAAACTCATAATTAATAGTTAATGCAATAGGTAGAATAAGAATCGATGAAATAATAATTGACGTATAATCAAAATTGTTATATTCTGTTGGCCAAAGAAATAAGTTTGTTTTTGGAATGCTAAAAACTGTTTGTGCACGTTGATAATCGCTTGTTATAAGCCAACAATGTTCAATTGATTTATTCCAACTAGATGTGAATGATTGATTGGAATGTACATCAGATTTGATAAGGATTTCAGTATACCATCGAATAAACTAATTATATGACACATAATTCTAAAATATATATCAAAATATTCTAAACATACTGCACTAAGATATGTCTCATCTAAATGTTTCATAAATATGAGAACGAGTGATGATTTTCGCAGATAATCAAGTAAAAATTCTTCATTGAATAAATCAATTTTTTCCGTCGTATCATCTGTTTTTGGAGATAGATTGAAAACATCTTTCCTGAATTCGAAATTACTTTGTATAGACATTTATTGATCGACTTCGATGAAATAAAACTCAACAATTTCTTATTATTGAAACTATCTTACTCAGATATTGAATTAGTTATATTTTCATTATTGACGTCTGCATTAGTATTAAATTCTTTTTTCAAATTAACTTTTTGAAATAAAATTTTACGTTGTTTGAATATGTTCTTTTTAGTCGACATAGTTGATGAAGAAGTGTTATGAGAATTTTGTAATGTACTTGATAGTGAAATATCTTGCTGAAGATTTTCATGGGATATTTGTTCATATTTGATTAAGAAAGATTTAATCTCATCAAATGTAAAATAGACAATAGAAATATTTCGTGAAACATATGGTTTCAATAATGATTCTAATAATCGATAGATTTTTTTCATTCTATGTGTACATAAAACGAAAATAAAATGAATGGTTTGTTTTAAATTAACATCTAATTGTAACATTGAAGAATGTAGATTTTCATAAGTGACTTGATTGATTTCAGTTCGTGAGAGTGAAGAACGATCATCTGATACAGATGTAGTTTGTAGAAAGTCATTATTTTCATTTTGTTTTCTATTTGAACTATTCAAAATTGAATGAAAGAATTAACAGAGGAATCATGAAATCATCGAGTATATGTAACACTCCATTAAATTTCTTTTGTGTATTCAATGCATTCATTCTCTGAGACTATCAACAAAAATTTTTTAACGTCCAATATCCTTTCTTTCAAAATTTAGTCAATATTTACTTTTTTAACACTCTCATATGGTTATGAAAAAGAAGCGACATGTAACACTCTATAAAATTTGTACTTGTTTTTGTTTTAACGGATCATTCAAATTTTTTTATAAATTATACTAAAAGATAAAGAATTAAAAATCTTTTTTTTTTTAATTGAAAAATCACCTAGGCTATTACGTAAGAGAAAGATTTAGATTCCGTTTCACATCGGAGATACCATTTATGTTTTAATATTTCTTTTTACCATTCTGTAGAGAATAAAATATTGTATAAAATTTATAGAACTAACCTTGAATCTCTTTAATTGTAAATTCTTATAGGAAATAAACTATTATCAAATGGATAATAGACTTATCGAGGGAGTCATTTTTCATTTATATTAGCCTCGTTAAACTTGAATCGGTCAATACTGTATTATATCGAAATAGATCACTTTGTGTGGTTTTTAATTCTATATCTTTCAGTATAATTCATAAAAACACTTGAATAACTCTTTAACATGAAAACAACCACAAGTTTACAGAGCATTTTGTTCTGCTTCTACTCTATAAGTATAGGGTAGTAATAAAAAATTTGGCACTGATTAACTTTTGAAAGAATGCATATTAGATGTTAAAACTTTGGACTTCAAAATTTCAGACATCAATGCATCAAACGCTCAAAAAAGGTTTGCTGTTTTTCATTATCATGCGGAACTTACTCGATGTTAACATAACTATGAAAGCGTTGACAAGTATCTTGTAAAATTTTGCGATCATGTTGAAAACGAGCTGAAATATCAATACCATCAAGCACAAAACAATGACTTGAAGCACGAAAATGTACACTTTTAGCCATCGTTATACAACAACTATTTTTATCTGTTTGATGTAATTTCCTGTAAGAATTGAAACAAATAAATATCAACAAAAGTGAATTGAAAAATTATTTTACATTAATTCATCACTGTTTGATATTTGATACTTATTATGAATTGATGAATTTGATAAAACGGAATGAGAACCATAATGATTAATTGTTATATCATGATTAAATCGATAAACATGATGATGTGATAAATTTTCATGAGTGTTTTGTTGTTTTTCAAATTGTTTTCGACGATTTTCTTTGTAATCTATATGATAATATTCTCCTATAATCATCTAGTTTGTTACTCATTTCAATATTAAAATAAAGTAGATCAATTCAAATAACCTGATTTATGAAATATTTTTTCAATAAATTTATCTAAATTTGACAAACGTACAAGTTGCATTAACTGTATATAAATATCGTAGTTAATCGACTGCTTCGAAAAATCAAAAAGTATATTTCCATGTAATGTTCGTATTGGAAAAGTATATGTATCAAGTGGTTGATATACATTGTGTTCATATCTATCGTTTTCTATTGATTTTATCACTTCGTTATTAATAGGAATTTTTTTGAGTAACTCCAGTTTACATAAGACGATAGCCACTTGTGATTTCATATTTTTCATATCATCTGAATACCAAGTAGTACAAGGTTGAATCGATCCAATAAAATTTTCAAGTAAATTTGGCATATTCATTGTTGTATGTGACTCTACTTCATTGTCCTGATGATATTCAGGTGTAGATTGAAGTTTTTCAAAATAAAATTCATTATTGAACCATGTAGATAGCCTCGGATTATAGTGAGTATCATTATTAGATGTAGAACTTGAACCTAATTCGATAGTTGCTTTCGACACATCATATGATTCAACTTGATTGAAATTCTGTATGAATGAAAAAGTTGTTGGCAGTGACCAATTGGAATCGAATGTCGATGCCATTTTTTAGATATTTTCAAAAAGTTTGTTAATTCAAAAGGAAATTTAATAATTTTGATTATGTTGCTAAGTAAAATAAATTTTCGATTAATTATTATTAATAGATTCGATATATAAAGAAGAAGATTCGTTCAACAATAGAATTGGCACTCTCACAAAAAGTGAATCTATTATTTTTCAAACCGTCAATGAAGATATTAGGAGTCCATGTTATTCGAAGTACACTACTAGGCCTAATTCCGGCTGTCCACGACTAACGCAAAACTCGATATTATCTTCACCCTAAGTGTTCTCCAATGTGGTATTTCCATAAAAAATTTATCTGTTTTCTTGAGCTTTCTTAATTTTACTTCATATCAAAAATAGTATAAAAGAGGCACAATCTGAGCACACTCATGACATAACTTTCTCACTATTGAATCGTGGTAGTGGTGATCCCATTTGAATTGAATGTCATTGAATGAGCTTCTTAAAACTCGACAAATTGATATTATTCTATTGAGATTAATTTGTAGCCAAAACACTTTAATTCAAGGCGCTATGTTTATAAATGCCGAAGGTCTCCTTTTTCACTGATATGTCACACACATCTTGGATGAAATCTACCGATCTAATTCCCACTATATCGCCCCTAATATCTTTGGTGACTGTTTCAAAAATAATACACTCGATACCGAGCAGAAACTAATGTCATAATTTAACGAACTCTCCTCCTCACATTTAATGCAAGATTCTCATATACTCTTGTTTAGAAATTTAAAAAAATTTCGTTATGAAGATCTTTTCTTTTTCATTAATAAACCACATGTCGAAATCACAAGACTTTTCACATGCTCGCCAAGTACAGAGTAAGAAGAAAACAAAAAAAAAATCGTGAGAAAAAAAAAACAGGAAACGAAGAGAAGTTTGTCACTCGAGTCAAAGAATTTCATATAGAAGTATAATATACAAACCAAGAAAGATGAAGCACCATAATTTTTTCTTGAACACAAACAAAAAAGAAAAGAAAAGAAACACAACTGTATTTTAATAATGAAAGTTAGGTGCAAAATGAGATGGTAACATTTGAGGTTGATATAAATGTGCTGGTGGTGGTGGTTGAAATGCTTGTTGATGAGAATCAATTTTCGATGGAATTGGTTTATAAACAAGTGGAACAGGTTGTTGTTGTTGTTGTTTATTTTCTTCATCACTGTCATCGTCATTTGTATGATGTTCATCATCATTTTCATCATCATCATCATCATCATCATCATCTTCAATTGAATCAACTTGTCGAGATAATATATCATCACCATCAGGTTCATTTATTGAATCATCATTATCAGATTGATTTGTTTGTGGTGAACTAACTGATGATGAATTTCTATTATTACTCATATTCATTGCATGATTATTATAAGATGAATTATGATAATTATTTATTATATTATTATTATTATTATGATTATGATTATTATTGGCATGATTTGACATATCTTCTTCAAGAAATCTTGTACATTTCTTTTTTCGTCGACAATGTTTACACCATTGACTTTGACCTTCTAATCCAAAACGGGCACGACATTTCTTTTGATTTAAACAATCTATTTATAAAAATAAATATAGAAAAACTTCTTTTTTTTTTTTTAAAACAAATATTTTTACCATTCTCTAATTGCATTGGATTTTTTGTTGAATTCATATGTGGACTATTAATTAAATGTGATTGTTGATGTCCATAACGATGTGGACTATTATGATTTAAATGTCCTGGACTATTAACCATAGAATTATTTTCTCTTGGTGCTTTTTTATGTGAATTATTTAATATTGGTGTATGACCACTTGATTGTCGTTTCTTTTTTAAACCATAATTATCACGTGCAGACCAACCTGGATACATTTGCATATGACGATTACGTTCTTCTTTTGCTAACTCTAAATATTTCATATTCGAATATAAGAAAGAAAACGTCAATTTCAAAATAATTTTTTTTTCGTGTGTTTTACCATAATATCTATCTTGTTCTGCTCGAGGTAATTCTTTCCATTTTTGTCCAAGAACTTTATTGATAGCTGATGATTCTTTTAATGTACATTCTTCAATAACACGTGCACGTTGTTCTTTCATATAAAGCATAAAAGCATTTAAAGGTTTTTTTATATGAGGTTTTTTAGGTCGTTGTACATCAAGTAAAGCACTAAGACTATAGAAACAAAAACAAAAAAAAAATAGTTTATTCATTCGTTATTAATCATACTTTCGAGAAGATCCATCGTAATTTTGATGATGACGATTCGAAGATGATGATGATGATGATGATGATGGTGCCGGAGGTCGAACACCAGGTGTTGGAATCGGAATACCGAATGGATTAAAAAGATTTGGTCGAAACGGTTGATTAGCCATTCCCGGTGGATATAATGAAGGAAAAGGCATACCTTTAATTAAAACAACAATTTTTATTCAAATTTTATATCAGAATGTTTTTTTTCTTCTTTTCTTTACCTGGATTAAAACCTGGAAATGGTGATAATGTTGAAGGTACAGTACCATATGGATTATGTGAAGGTATTTGACCATCTGTTGATGATTTATCCTAAGAAAATAATTATTTATTTTAGGTAAAAAATAATAATTTTCTATACTGTTGATGATACAGCAGCATTTGCTTGTGCAGCTGCAGCCATTAAATATGGATGAAACATTGGATGAAAATATGGATAAAGAAATGGTGATGTATATAAACCAGAAATACTACTATTGAATGCATCATTTTTATTTGGACTTGTCTGAAATAAAAGAAATGAAAATAATTTTTTTTTGTTTTTTTTCAAAAATAATTATCTTACAGGTTCTTCAACAACAGGTGAAAGTCGATCTTCAATACCATCAATATCAATATCATCATCGGGTTCATTTTTTTTAATTGTTGATGCCGAATATATTTTAATTTCATCATTTCCATCTTCCATTTTAATTGTTGTTATTGTTTCATCATTATTATTACTACTACTATCAGTTATTGAACGTTGTTTTGGATTTGTTGATGTTGTTGATATTGATGATGGTGAACTTATTGATGATGATGATGAACATTTCTTTTTAACTGGTGTTTGAAAATCTGTTGATTGAAATTGTGGTGATGCCATTTATGTTTTTTTTTTTTTTTTCTTTTTAAAAATATTTTTTATTGTGACTTTTTTTAGTATTAAATTTTATACATTATTGCTTGTCTTTGATCATTGAAAATGATGGGTGGAGTAAAAAGAGAAGTCGCAAATCGTCTTTCTTTTTTTTCTTCTTCTTGTTGTTCAATGTTTAACAAAGCGGCAGTGTGTTTGAACTGACCTTCAAATAGAACAAAAAAAAAAGACGAGGGAATGATGTGTTCATTCACCATCCACTCATTTCTTTTCGTCGTCGTCCGTTCACTGAGAATGTAGAAGAAAGAACAATGACAAGGCTCACTTCTCTCTCTCTCTTTTCGCGGCCACTGGTCAAGGCTGACGGACGGTAGTAGACAAAAAAAAAGAAAGAAAACGAACGCCAACAGACTGTCAAAAGAAAGTAACACATTGACGGCAAGACGATATTGTCGGCGGTAAGAAAAAGAGAAAAAAGAGAAGAAAACAAAATTAACGCGGCGACGAATACATCTGCGTTCATCATATTTGTATATTTCGATAGAAGAAACGAACAAATGGCCTATGTATATTGGCTTTATATTTCATTTTTCGATATGTGTGCATCAGTAGCAATGAGAAAAAAAAGAATAAGAAACAAAATAAAAATCATCGATGTTTAATTTTGAGAATATTTCTTGACTTATTAAAATTGAAATTTTACTTCAGACAATATGTTCATTGAGGATATATGAATATTATTTGAAAAGACATCTGACAGATTAATATTATAGTTTTGAGATTAAAATAGTTAGATAGAATACAAATAATAATCTCTAAAGTTCATCTCTTTCATCATATATGATGAAGAATATAAGGAATATTTTGTATACGAAAAAGAAAACAATATTTATTTTTGAGTTTTATCATTTGATCATGATGAAATATTTTATAAAAATAGGATAACTTATTTAAGATTTTCTAGTTTTTAGTTTATAAAATATTAATGTTTGCATCATATTTTTCTTTTACTATTTGATCTATGAAAAAAGAAAAACATTTCTATAATACTAACACAATATATTTATAGTTTTATTCAATATCTATTTGTTCATTAAACAATTATACTAAAAATACAAACAAATTGAAATAAACTAATATTGTTGAAAAATTTTTTTCAAGTCTAAGATTATATCAATGAAGTTTTGTATATGTAAAAATTCGAAAAGAAATTATTGAAATAGATAATATTATCAAGTGTGTCAGTCGAATATTCTGTTTTTTGTTAGTTATAAACGTACTTATTTTCAAGTGTCTTTCAAAATGTATCAAACAATAATAAGTATCAGCCTTTTTTACTAGTTGACATCATGAAATATTCATATTCTTTTTTTATTATGTTCAAATCAAGAGATTTTCTTGTTCAAAACTAAGGAGTTATTTATCTTACATGCACAACAAGAAGAAATTAAAGAAGGTTAATCTCTATGTTGTTTGATGAACATTATTATTTAAGAAAATAAATGTGTTTTAATCAATTTTATTAAATACTTTACAAGAACTATTGTATATTAATATTGTATTGTCCTATTGTGTTAACATAATTACGAAGTAGTGCAGATGTTAGAAGCAAAAAAAAAGGAAAGCCGATATGATTAGGAATTACTCTTTTATTAATGATGAAACAGATACTGTTCAAAAATGAAAGATCAATCGGTTGAAGTTATGATCATGAACACAAATATATATATATCATACGAGTATTTCAGATATAAATTAAAATTGAAATAAAATTAGGTACAGAAATTAAAATTTCATTTTTTTTAGCAGAGTAACTTAGTCAACTTTTATTTAATAATATATTTAAAAATATCATTGTTGGTATTATCAAGTGA